AAAAAATGTCTAATACTAATTTAACAGCATCTTTTTTAACGCATGTAATGTTACTATTTTTTAAATGTTGCTTTGTAAGTTACAGTATTGTAACAATTTATTGCCAATATTATTATTATTATTATTATTGTCATTTCATAAAACAAATGAAATGACAAATAAACAAATTAAGGTTCCCGTAAAATAAGGTATAACTGTAGCTGTCTCTTATACACATCTAAATAATGATCTTTTAATAACTAAATAAACAAACCAAAACTCTGTATTTATTCCATAAAATAGTTGATTATTCCCAAATAAACAAGAGATAAATAACACCTGAACTTTTAGACTTGTTGTTTATATGGCATTTAAAAACAAAAGGCTTCTATTTATTGGCTAAAGCATAGATTCTCAACCAATAAAAAATCTTTTAAAAAAAAATTGACCAATTGAATTGTACTTAGTTGTCACTTACACAATCACAGTGTATTAGATTACAAAATTACGAACACCCAAAATTACATACATCCCAAACCACATCAGGACCAACTATGGAAGTGATAGTGTCAAATAAAGGTGGACGTAAACTCTGCCATGAAGGCTTTATGTACACAGTACAAAAATCAACTACAAGTCATATCTTCTGGAGGTGCGTTGAAAGGATGAACGGTTGCAGATCTCGTTTGATGACAGACCTTGCCGTTATAGAACCAAATATTGCGTCAGATCATAATCATCAACCTGACCAAATAGCTTTTAATGTAGCAAAGGCACGTGCAGTGATGAAGGGCAGAGCGGTTCAGACCAATGACAATCCAGCTAGGATATTTTCTGAGTCCATACAAGAATTAGACCAGTTAACAAAAATGCATATGCCAAAAGAGTCAACCTGCAAACGAACCATCCGCAACCAGAGGTCACACGAATATCCACCCGAGCCTAATACTCTAAGAGATCTTGTAATTGAAATGGATGTAGAATGGTCTAAAACAAGAGGTGACGATTCCAAACGGTTTCTTCTCTATGACAACGGCCCTGATA